TTTTAAATTATTTTACATTTTTATATGATATGACAATTTCAAATACATGTGTATTTTACTGAATTATGTAACTTCCTCTCACAGAATTTGATTTGTGCATACAATATTGTGAAGTTCAGATCCTGAATAAAATTAATAAATATGCATTTATATTTTTCAGTGTTTAATTTTTATATGATCTGATTTTATCATTGTTTTTGTTGATGAAATATATTATTATTAATTTATTATACTTACCTTTGGTTCAAATCATTTAAGATGGCAGTTTTTACATCTGTGATTAACTGACTGTTTAAATTGGAACTGGCAAGATGTTTCTGCATCATAGATTTTAATGGGTGTATCATGGAAATGGTGGGTGTCTTCTCATCACAGAGAATAGTTGTGATTGTTTTAATTGGTTCAAGAACCTTTACCAAAGCTTCTAGTATATTTTAGTCATCTTCAGTCAGATTTAGAATGTATTTGGATTTTCTTTACCTCTTTGGTCAAAAGAGCTGCTGTATTGCACTCTGTTGTTCTAAAAATCTGTCAATCATTTCAAAAGCTGAATTCCACCTTGTGGAGACATCCATTATCAATTTATGCATAGGTAAGTCCAGGAGTGATTGTTTTGATATCTAAACTACAGCAGCAGTTGAGCTTCTATGAAAAAAGCTTACAACATGCCTTACTTTACTGAGAACCTTTTCCACTTCTTGAATGTTCAATCCTCTTTGGGTAGCCAAATTTATAGTATGGGCTATGCATATGACATGATGTAAATCTGAAAGTTTAGCAGCATTAACTATGTTTGCTGCATTATCTGTGGTAATGGTCGGTTTATATCCATTTTTGACTTAGTCCCATTCGGTGATGCCATTTTTAATCATCTCAGACAAATTTTCTGCTGTATGGGATTTGTGTAATGTTCTTGTCTGCAGAATGTAGTTTCCATTCATCATTCATAAAGTGGGCTGACAAGATATTATAACTCTTTGTTGATCGTGAAGTCCATCCATCTGAAGTAAGTGTAACATATTCACATGGTTGCATTTTGCATTTGACAGTTTTGGCTACTTCATCATACAGCATTGGGATTATTTTATCTGTAAAGTGAGTCCTGCTTGGAACATTAAATTTAGGGTCCAAAACTGACAGCATATGTAGAAAACATGCATTTTCAACAACTGAATAAGGTCTCATATCATTTTAAATGAATATGCCAACAGCTTTGGTGATTTGTTTATGTCTCATGCTTGTTTTGGCATATTTATTTTTCATGACATCAAAAAGGCTCAACTGCCCTGGTAATCTCTTGTTTGGTGTGGTAGACTTACTTGGGGTTTCTGATGATGAAGCTTGGTTTGATTCAGAGCTTCTAGAAGTAGTAGGTGACTCCTCGGTATAATTGCTGGAAACGTCTAAGGAGTGTCTTTTCTTCAGGTGCGAACACATGTATGTTGTTGGCCCTGTCTCGTATTTAAATTCGGCAAAACAGTTACGACATACAGTAATAGATGTGTTTGCTTTTCCTTCTTTTTCTTTTTTTAAATCCAAAATGCTTCCACACTGCAGATCGGCGAGATCGCAGTGTGTACGGAGGTTCAGCTATCATGTTTGCCGCCATCTTTGTTTTGTATTCGAATCGATTAGAAATCCGGAACTGTCCATTCGAAAACCGAATTGGACTCTTTTATTTTCGCGAATATTCGAACTTTCGAATAATCGTTACAGTTCTAGTAATTAACATTAATTACAAAAGAAAAAACTTGTAATATATGTATTATTTTCATTAATTTACTAAAAAATTGTTTGTACTTTATTAACTAATTGAAAATGAAATCAGTTTCTATCTGATATTTAGTCAGGTTTTGATGTGTGCCATTGATTATAATTTAAAATGTATTATTCTGTTAACACTTGTTAAATTTTTGATTTAAATTGATGTTAGAAAGTGATCGTTCTTAAACTTTGACGTTTGTACCAAGTGGTGTCAATTTAACAAAATATAGATATTTTCATGTCGACCATGAATTACTATTTCTTTGATTACAATATTTATGTAAATTTTCAGATTCAAAGAGAATGTTTTACAGAAAATAAACATTTTGAATGCAACCAAATTTTTAATTTATCAGAGCTAAACTCAAACTATAGAAGAGTATAAAAACAAAAGAATAATAGATAATAATATGTTGTTTTTTTTTACAAGCCGACAAAAAGCTCAAGTTTTTCTTGACTTCCGGTAAAACTTCTTTAGGTATTTCATATGCAAGATACAACGAGAGGTCCTCTTACGGTATAACACAATTTCACATCATGCGTGATACATGAACACGTTTGTAGCTGTGCTGCACTAAAGCAACATTTAAGTACTATAAGCTTCCCAAAAGTGCCACTAGATAGAAATATAAACAGAATCAATTAATTTACCGTATCTGTCTCTCGGCATACACAGCATGTTTTATTAACTGATTGATAAATTGTATCGACCAAAATTATTTCTAAAATATCCAACTTCTGACAGGTTACGATGTCCTGAATTTGAATATTTTGTAGAATCATAAAACAAATCAATAGAAAATGTCATAATTATGAAAATTCCGGAACTTCTATCTTTAACTTCCACTATGTAGTTT